AATTAATTCACTTTCAGCATGTGTTGTATATCTTAGCTGAAGATAAAAAAATAAATAAGCCATTCAAACATGATTTCAAACAAACTTTAATATGTAAATGACCAATTTTAAAAATTCATTTACATATATACAGTGGGTGATCGGTTAACGAACATAATCCGTTCCAAGACTTTGTTCGCTATCCAAATTGTTTGTTAACCGATTATTGATTTACCATAGGTTTTAATGGGAATTTAATTAATTCGTTCTGGAGACCCCAAAAATAAAAAATATATTTTCTTACTACGTTTATTTATATGTAATAATAAAAATGTACACATACACAGTCTTGCGTTTTTCATGTTTTTTCCATTTAAAAGGGTTAAAGAATCTCTAATGTCGATTGCTTTTCTCTCTTCTTCAGGATTTTTCATAATTAATAGCATTGCAATTGTAGAAATCCCCAAGCCTCAACCTGGTTTGGATGCCATTTTAAGACCGTTGTTCTGACATCCTCCCACTTCTTCAAAGGATCTTTAATAACAGACATCTGCATTAATCCTCTTTTTCAGAAGAAAACATATCTTGCCGAGTTTCTTGGTGTTCTTCATTCAAGAGTTCATGGCATTCTTCTGTCGTCAGATCCGTTTCAGGTTCCATTATGAACTCTTTGATGTTCTTTATTTCTCAGATGTGAGTATTGTTACTCCTTTAGCTGCTTGAGTCTTCTTGATTATACTATATTTTTCTTAAATAAGATTGAACTGCGGCCTACTGTAGACCTGTTCACACCATTAGGCATCTTCTGCCCACTCTCTACCTTTGCTATTATACTCTCACCTTTCGAAAAGAAAAACAGATACAAAACTTAACGACTGCCTACCCGACAGTCTCGCAAATACATAAAAGAATTGTTTTGTCGGAAAAATAAAAGGCTGGAATTACAAGGGAGAGTTTCAAAGTTTGGAGGAATACTATCCAATCGATATATACTGGCTTGAGTGTCGATGTCAATGTCGACGTCTCCCACACTCCGAAAAGTTTCAAATTGTTGCCTGAAGACAAGGGAAGACCAATAGATATTCATTACTTTACATCGCTTCTTCTTGTGTTTGTTCTGTGAGGTGTTCGTTGTCCAAACATAAAAATCTTTAGCGAAAGTGTTCGTTATCCAATCTGTTCAATAACCGATCACCCACTGTATATATATATATATATATACTTTATATTTATATACTTACTTTCTCTCTCTGAATGACTAAACGAATAAAACGATCAGTTCCATTTAACAAAGTCAAAGCCTGTTCGAATGTTCGTCCCTCCGTATTGATTCCATTAATCGATAAAATTTTATCTCCCACTTGTAGTTTGCCATCCTTCTCTGCGGCACCACCAACTGTTATGTCAGTTATGTAGATGCCCTGGAAAATTTTTGAAGTAGCAAAATTTAAGCCTCTGTATAAAATCTATTTAAGCTTGAATGTGTACATGTTTTGTTAAACTGTAATAAGCTTTTAATAACATAAATGACAAAACTGTTATTTATGTTTAAATCCATTCATAACTAACTCAAATAAGAATAGACAATCATTAATATAGTAACATGAACTTTAATTTCTTATATACACTAGAACCTCGATTATTCGGACTAATTGGGGATGAAGGTAGTCCGGATAAGGAAAAATCCGGATAATCGAAACAAACACTTTAATTTGTCTTTTAATGATAATACAACACAATTTCTTTTCGATGACATATCGGTAATATTAAAAGTAAATACTGTATTTAAATTGTGATCAAATTTTCAAGAAACAAACGTTCGTATTGAATTTGGACTACTTCTGACCAACGCTAACTGACTACCTATTGTTTAAAAGGCCCTCTGGTGGCGCAAGAAGACGGATTTTATAAAATAAAAAGCAGTTGAAACTGCATTTTTATGAATAAAAATTTGACAAACTATTTATCGTTTTATGACGAGTAAAATTTTTTCGTCGCGTTCGCGGCTTTTAAGTAATGCATAAACCTTCGAGGCGCGAGGCCCTTCGGACCGCGAGGCATAGGCGGTGGCCCACGTCGTCCATGCCTTACGCCGCCCTTGGTCATAGAAATGATGTAATTTGAATATAAATTATTTATAAATACGTATGTCAAGTTATATTTTTATTACTACGTAAAATATATTTAAGAGTTTACGACCACTGTGCTGGGTGAGACGTTGTTGAAACAAAAAAAGTTATGCATTCCATCATGAACATAAACAGTGTCGTAATTCGCCAAGTGCAAATCAGCAAATTCGTAAAATTTTTGTTTATTTTGAACAATCCGGATAATCGAAAATCCAGATAATGGAGGTCCGGATAATGGAGGTTCTACTGTATATATACATATATGGGTGTTGGTTCTTTAAAAGTTGAGATATGGAATTTTATGCACCATTTTGTGAAATCAGGACCCTGCTTTCACAAAATGGTGATACATTGCTTAGAGTTAGAAAAATTTTGATACTTTGGATTATGTAAGAGTTTGATTGGTCAACATCCAAGGAAAAAATTAGTTTTCATACAGAGAGCAAGTGCCTTGGCTTGCCTTGCATTAAATTATAAATAATTTTTTCAATATTCTGAGGTATGGAATTCCATACCTGCAAAAATGTAAGGTATGGAGTCTTCCATGCCTTCCATAGTGGAAACAACACCCATGTATATATATTAATATATATTTATTAAATAAAGAAGTAAAATAGATATGTACTTTTTTCTTTTTTAAAAATCTTTTTACCATATAGGTACTATGTTTTTCTATTTTATTATGCCTGTCAAGGATTTATCCAAATAAGGAATATAACGTATCATTGATTGGCAATCAAAACGTCATATCTCCAATAACGAGTCAAAACCCACATTTTTGCATTAACAAGTTGTAAAGTCAATTTCTATATATTGCCAAAATCTTGTAAGTGGTATGTATCTTTTAAGCTCTCTTTCTCTCTCTCTGACATTGTCAAACACAACCCTATACTCAAAATTTTGCTTCCTTGAAATCATATTTTTTTTAGCTCTCCTGTAAAATTTTAGGAAATGCAGATACAAGACTTTGATTGCCAATTGATAATATTTACATCAAATCAAATCAAATCATTTGTGCAAATTTCCAAATTTTTCAACCAAGTTCATCAAAATAGTAAGGCTTTTACTGTGTCTGCTTCCACTTTAAAAATTGACATGATTTTTAATATGTAATTATTCTTTAGTGCAAGACAAAATAAACTTTCTCAATACTCTCTGAATAATATAATTTGATAAAAATGATTATAATTAAAATTACATATCTTAATTTTTTGATAGTCAATTTGTATATATAATTTGCAATGCATATTATAATCATTTCCATTTGTACGCTTTCTAGTTTTCATTTCATTCTCCCAAAAAATTAAATTAAACTTACGTTGTTTTTATGTTGAAGTCCAGTACTGTATTCATTAGAAATCGATAAGCCAAGACCGTTCTGATCCTTTTTGAGTGTAGTATAAACAATTTGCTAAAATGGAATAAATTCATAAATGTTACCAATAAAAATTTATTGTGTAAATCAAATTTAAAAAATTATAAACCAATAATAATGCCAGATTTAATTGCTGTATTAAAGTACAGTTAAGTGGTTATATTAATATGAATGGCAGCTTAACTGCCTACCTTTAGTCCAAATTATGTAATATCTTTATAAATATTTAGCCATATTATATCCAAATTAAAATCTGGCACTTCAATTTTGCCAGATTCTGGTCATCGTCTCTCCTCTCTCACAAGCTGATCACTGGTTAGCTAATCATTTGTTTATGTCTTGAGAGATCATCGCGTCTCCCAAAATGCAATTCTGGACAACATTTTCTCTCAAAGATTCCCTCGTTTCTCAGAGATGAGCAGATAGTTGTCTTTCAACCCTTCTTTCATCTTTTGCCTTGATTTCGTTATATCCAATATGGATGACTGGATGCTACTCACACTGTACAATCATATTAGAGAATGTTCTCTATCTCGGGAAAGAATATTTCAAGAGAGAAAATGCTTTTGATTTTTTCCAGTACCTACTTAGAAACACCACTGATTCCAGTTTTTTTTAATTATGCTATATCAATTACTGAACTATTGAATATGATGTTAATCCTACTTAGTTAAGGAGAAATTAGATGGTAATATTTCGAAAAATATCTAAGTACACATGCTTTTCTAACTTAGGTTATTAAAATTTTTATTTCTTAAGAGACAATTTAACTTTACAATCTGTAATAACGTTATAAAACAAAAAACATAACTCTGTCAAAATTACGTGCTTTATTTGAACGTGTGTTTTCCTTGCCACGTGATCTATAATTACATACTCTGCATTTTTGAAATTTTACAATTTCATTGGTAAAATTCTATAATGTGTTGCACACACAGATAACCCAAACGTATAATCAACCTAGTAGAATAGTGACGTCATCAATGAAGACAAGATTGCTAAAAGTGACCAGAATCACCACTGTCTCTAAGAAACAAATTTCATCTCTCATTTTGACATCATTCATCCTTGAAAGAGGAGATGAGAGATAAGTGACCAGAATATGGTTCTTGAGCTCTGTTGAGCCAACAACATTGAACTTCACTAAGAATAGGCCCAACATTAACCAAAACTGCATTTATCAAAGGTTACCCATATATGATAACATCAATGATTCGTACTTACCTCTTGTTTAGCGTACATTTCATTTTCAGTTGCCTGTGGAACTGGAGTAGCTACATAATTGCTTACATGATTACTACTATCACTTACTGACGTATCTAAAGTTGAACTCACAGTCTTTGAATCAACGTAATCAATCTTATCTTCTGATATAGTGTCATTTGGTGTAATGGGAGTATCTTCTTGTATGGTCTCAGAAACATGATTATTTTCTGTTGCTTCTGGTTCAAACACATTTTCTGTAAATGACTGTTGCAATACGGGCTAGAGAAAAAAAGCCTGTTTATAAATTTCTCAAGTAAAAATTTTTGAATAAATTATATGAGTTCTAAGACAATTTTAAAACATTAATTTAAATTTACAAATAAACAAAAAATTATATAAGTTCTGTTTATAACTGAAAGAAAATTACCTGTGTTTGTTTTGATGTTTCTCGACTTATATGAATAGTTAAATGATCACCTGCTGCTCTAAGAATGTTGACAGCTTCAAAATGATCCACATCGACTACAGACACGCCATTCACCTACATAATTTATTTAAATTAATTAGAAAATAAATTATGAAAAAACTATTTAAACATTCAAATGGCATAATTAATCAAAACTAATATCTTAAGAAAAGTTGAATTTACCGTAAGAAGTTTGTCACCTATTCTGAGACCGGCCTGTTCTGCAGGTCCTTCTTCGGTTACTCGAGATATAAAGATTCCCTTTAAAATATATACGATGGATATTATAAATACTATAACAATATTATCATGAATACGTTAATTTTTATAAAAGAATTCTTTACAAAAAGAATAACAAATTAGATTTTAAGAATGTTCATTATGTACAGAAGATAACTGTTTCTGCTTTTCTTGATTAAACTAACCAAATTAAAACAGCTATGAAATTGATTTTAAATTTGTGTAAATCAAAAATAATTAACAATTAAGCATTTGTAAGAGCAAAAGGATATCTTTTTTACTTCATAGTGTAAAAAGGTGATGAATGTCAGACGTGATATTCAGAATAGAATAGAAAGTATTTCAAAATAGCGAGTATTTAACTCTATATTTAATTTTTGTGATTTGAATTTAGTAAAGATAAGATAAAGTATATAGTTAAATTATAATAATCATTTGTATCACCACTTCTTTTAATTAAAAAAAATTAATAAAACACTACTAAAATATATGTTTTCAATTAAAAATATTAGAGTTAAAATGTTAGCAAATCAATATAATTAATTGAAAATTTAAAATCTGTTTACTCACTTCATCGTCACCTTTGTACGGAGTTGATCCTTTACCTCCAGCAATGCTCAGTCCTAATCCGCAAGGCTGTTTGGCGAGTTCAATAACGAGTTGTTCTTCAACAGTGTCAACCATGGCAGACATCGAATCGACTTTAAAACATATGATAAACAATAAATTTATGTTATGCAATATTAGCTAAACTAAAGTGCGACAACTCACCACTGGAATGTGTCTGTCCTCCATCCGTTTGAATTTCAGAATGATGCGATAGAGGTGGAGAAGGTGGGGGAGATGGTAGAGGTTCTTTTGTTTGTTCTTTCTTTACGACTTGTGCTAAAATTGAAGCTACCTAAACATAAAAATTATAAATAAAATTAAAAATTGTAAATCAAAATACTGTCAATCTTAAATTTTTTTAAAGTAAACTTAGAAGTTTGTTTCACATTCCGACAATTTTACCAATCACAAATTTGTACTAAAAATTTTAAATATGCAACAACTTCATGCCCAATGATGGAATTGGCAAAAAACTTTTCAAATTAAATTTATTAAAAATATATTAATTTTACTAATAATAAATTTTAAAGTACCTTTTCTTGATCCTCTTTAGAGTTAACAATATTAATCCGTTTATTTTTTAAATGGTGTGGTGTGTCTCGCCGATGTAATTTTTTATGTCGTTCTGGTTGATCTTCTGTATCAGACATAAATCCGACATGTTTTTCATCCTAAAAAATATTAAAAAGCATTATTGTTTAATAGCTTACATTTCTATGTTTGTCTTTCTTGGATATTAATAAAATATATATAAAAATTTTTATTAGAATTATCATTGGCTATTCAAAGTTCAGAAAATTTTTGAATATGAAATATTTAAATGTTTGAGTTTTAAATGGATAGTTTCCAAATGTAACAAAATCAATTTAAATGAATTCTCAATTATTCATAATTATTTAATTATGAATAATTGTTTTATCTTACACTTAAAACGTCAATATTTTAAAAATAAAGTAACTGAATCCAGAAACACCTAGTTTGAAGTTTAGAACTTATTAATTAATTAAAAAAGTAAGATGTCATGTACCAAAAGCCATAATTTATCTCCTGTAAAGGACCTACATTTCTTTAATTTAGAAACTTTTAAAGTTCAATCTGAAGTGTTCCTGTATTTTTATTTAATCTATGGAATTTTTCTCTAAATTTAATAAATTCCAATTCAACAAAGTAACATACTAAAAAATGCAGTGTAGCCCCATTTATCTGGCTAAAACAAGACCAGGACCCAATCCAGACGACTGAAAATCCAGAAAATTTGTTAACAACATAACACAGTTTATATATAATTCATTTTATATTTTTAATTTATTTTCCATTGTTACAACCACTTTATTTTTTTCAGACATTATTTTCATAATATTTACTTTACTTCACAAAAGATTGAAGGTGACCAAAATTCAGAAAAATAATAGTATCTGTGGGTGTCGATAATAACTCCCAACGTTACAAAAGATAAACTTATTAACACATTGATATTAACTTAAGATATGACACAAGATATTAAGTAAACTCAAATAATACTCCCAAGGAATGCATATGCCTTGAGGAATGATCATGTGCCAATTCATAGAAAGCAAGTCTATTCTTGCACACTGCAACCTTACACTTCGGAAAGAATGTAGTTAAAATGTTGTTTGATTTTTTCACATTTATAGGTTTATAGGTTATCTAGGTTTTATATTTCTGAAACAGAGATTATGTTTTATAATCTGAACTAATGGAATCCAGATAAACAGAGTTCCACTGTAATCAATTATACTTAAATAATGACCTTAAGAAATCAATACATCCAAAAACTTAAAATTACTGACTTCTTAACTGTAAGATTGTTTAATTAGGACTAACTGTTTTGATTAAATTGAGGAGTTATTTAAAGCTAAATGATTGCCAAATTATATCAAGCTATATTACTATTACTTTTATTTATTAAATACTAATGTGGCATTAAAGGCAGGCATTAAGTGTCATCTCTTGCTAAATTCAATAATTATAATTAATTTAATATTTTTAATAATTAATTTAAAGGGTTTGGAAGAAAAGAATTGGCTTGAAGCTAAATTCACTCTCAACACCCACTTTGGACCAAATTAAAAATACAGTCAAACCTTGGGTTACAAATGCTTCTGTTTATAAACAATTCAGTTTACAAACCAAATTTTGAATGCCATATCAATTGCTGTATGATAACTTGGTTTATGAACAAGTTACTCAACAGAGTCGGTCACTGATGGTCAACTTCCTATACTTCCTGTATTAAAGAAAGTTGACAGCCTGACCAAACAATGACATGACTACCGATTCAGAAGTTAATTGTGCTGAGATCACTTTGCATCATGTAATGAATCATCAACGATGATGTTATTTAAATTACATTTCAATGCACATGGGGAAAGATACTATTTCTGTTTTTTGTATGTGCCACAGTTGAATTTAAATCAAATTAATTAATAAAAACTGCATTAATTTCATTCATGTAATATAAATGGCATTTGAGAATTTATGTTTAAATCTGATTAAAATTTATTAATATAATATTGTATATTATAATATTTATTAATACTAGGTAGCCAGTTAATTAAGCTAAAACTAATAATTAAAACTGGCCTTTACACCTAAACTGAAACTATAACTAAAATTAAAATAAAATTAAATGCAAATCAATTAAAACACAATATTTCAGAAAGTATGGTCAAAGTACTTGTCAGTCATGATATATTTGGTTATATTTCATCTGTCAGTCAGAGTTGAGTCTTTGTTTATAGCACTTCTTTATAAAGTGTTACTTTTGGTTGGCAGTGACAGAACATTTTGCTTTCAATATATATAAAGAATAAATGTAGATATAGTAGTAATATCATATTGCCTTTATAGGCATTTTATGCATGAAGTACAGCTTAAAAGGTTAAAAAAAAAGTTTTGTTTTGGGGTCAGGAACAGATTAATCCATTTTACATTGTTTCTTATGGAAAAATTGTTTTGATTTGAGAACAAATTGATTTCTGAACAACTTTTAGAAATGAACTAAGTCTGAGATTTGACTGTATTTATTTAATTGTAATTATTAAATTTAGAAGGAGATGGCACTCTGCCTCTAGTGCCAAATTATTTAGAATTTAATTAATAATAGTAGTAGTAATATAGCCTGATATAATTCAGCAATCATTTGGCTTTAATATATGACTATCAGGTTTCAGATGTTTTGTTTGAATGTATCAAGTTATGTATATATATATATCAAGCAAAGTCACTTAAATTTAAAATATACATTTTCTTACATACTATTACATTTATTGATCTTTATTAAGGACTATTAAATTACTTTCAGAAAAATTGGTTTAATTTTCTTCAACTTCAAGACTAAAAATATGAACAATGTGGGATATTTAATAATTGAAGGAATAATTGAATTGCTATGAGATTTAAAGAATAAAAAGATATAAATAAAAAATTATGGTTGCAGCAACAAGATAAAGTCTTTAGAATACATTGTCTATATTCTACAAGGGTTGAAGACAAGAGTTGAAAAATTAAAATCTCTGAAAACAAATGACCAATAAAAATGTGATGTAGATCTCTTTAATCAAACTAATAAAAAAATTTTTAAAATTAAATCATGTGTAATTAGTATTGTTACTTATGTATTAGTATTTAAACCGGTTTTCTTTAATTAAATAATCAATTCTAATGTCTAATAAATATACAAGAATTAAAATTTAATAATTCTATATAACAAAATTTGAATTTAAATGAATAAACTGTTTATAAGTTATACATATTTAAGAAAAGAATGAAAAATTGTAATCACAAGTACCCATTCTAAGCTTTCTTCGGGTTCAGAATTCTCTGACAATGTCTCATCTTTACTCTGATTCATAGAATTTTCTTTCTTGTTTTCCACAGAAATTTCATCAATATTGTCTTCAGAAAGAGTAACATTTTCACTTTCTTCTGATTATATAAATGGAAATAAACAATATTACATATATAAAAGCAAAACATACAAGATTTATTAAAAAATATAATTATTCTGTTTTACTAAGTTAATTCTAGAAGTACTGTTGTGTTGTCAATAACTGTAGAAAAATTTAATTATGTGAGCAACTAGCCATTCATCAATATGCCATATACTATGATCTTGTAGTAAAACATTTTCTCATAAAAATATTTAGTTAAGATTATTTGTAATTTAAATAAATTCATTAAACAAACATAGAAAAATATTTTTTGCTTTCTACTTTTATATTTATGTGATCTGATTTATAGATTTTTTTTACTTACGTAGTTTTTATTAAAAAAGGAACTTATAAAGTTTAGAATTTTTCAAAAATTTTAAATTTATCATCATCAGTCTAAAATATTATAATAAACAGCTAAGAATATTTTGAAATCATACATTTTAAAAATACAATAAACCTCCATTAACTTAGACTAATAGAGAACAATGGTTATCCAATTTAAAAAAAAAAAAGTCAGAGTTAGAAGGTTGCTTCTCCAATACATGGAAAATGACTAGATGGATATACAGTATAGCGATTTATTACAACCATCTCTATGCAAAATATTTAATGAACATTAGTAGGTTATACTGGTGAATTCATTATTACAGGGAATGAGCTAGAAAAATTTCATGATGATACAGTAAACAGCAATGTAGTCTTTAATAACTTACCAACTACAATAATATAATACATGGTATCACAGAGACTAAAAACACTCATTAATTATAATTTCATTACTCTTATAATTACTTGTTAAATATAGTTTTTTACTGTCAAGGAATTTTAAGTTACTGTACAAATTAAAAAAAAATATATATATATATATATTTGTTTGAGTTACATGAAGTCTGACTAAGTTCATGGGATCAGTTAGCAAAAGTTTACTGTAATTGTTCAAATAAATAAGGAAATAAAGGCAAATGTTAAATATTTGAAAATTAGTTTACTGTTTTACAAGAAAACAGGTAATGAAAAAATCAGATACTGCTCTAAAATAGTGGTATTCAAACCATGTTCTACTCTAGTGTTGTGTAAACAACCTTCAACAGTTCTGCAAAAATAACTATAAGAAATTATCATTATTTTTACTAAAAGTGTTAAACAATTAAAATTCCTATAATGTCCATTACTAACTAAAAGAAGTTTTATTATATAAAAACAGTTTTAAAGGCACTTTCACGTTCTCTTTATTGTTTAGGATTCTATAAAAATAATATTCATGCATGATGATACTACAGATGTTAAAAGTTTGAAAACCACTGCTTTAAAATATATTCTAATTGAGAAAGAGTTGGAAAGACATTGATAATAGTCCAGAATTGAAATGGAGATTAAAGAATGAGCTAATGATATAATATAAAAATGGAAATAACAGGAAAGTTGAAAGATTTCTATGCTGAATAAGATTTCCTAAAATATTCTATTGTAATAATCCCACCATTAGAAAAATCTCTTTAGTCACATGAGACGACTGGGTCTCAGCCTGAATAATTAAAGAAAATTTAGTTAAAATATAAGATCCAAGATAAATTTGGAGTTTAAATATAAAATGCAATGCATCAAAACGAACAAAAAAAAATTTAATTTTAATATAAGTATAAGGGTAATCATAATATGTAACAACTATGGAATAAACCATAGACAACAGCAATATTAACATAAAAATTAAAAATTCTTGATAATTAAACCAAGATATACGGGTTAGAATTTAAATAGAATCCATTCTATTTGAATTTGAATAGAACGGAGTTCAATAACCGCTGTGGTTTGAATATTAGATATATATTTAGCCTTATAACAAATAGGGTTGGCATCAGGAAGGGCATCCAGCCATAAAACCTATGCCAAAACTACATGGAATGTCTGCTAGACTACAAGTAAGTTATAACTGTGTTAGGATGTCCCCCTGAAGCAATGCGCAGGGCTGCACAACATAGGGTTCTCCTGGTGGATTGTGACTTTCTTATGAGCCATTGTAAGAATTGTGTTAGCCAAATTGAACAAAGGATCAAATGGTGGAGATTGAAACAGGAGGAATTAAGGAAAGAATTTAAGTTTAAAGTGTTAATAGAAATCCAGTTCCTGGATGATGTGCAAACATGGTGGTTGCTGAATAGTAATTGCATTTTGAAAGTTGGAGAAGAGGTTTTGAGAAAAACTTCAGGGAGGAGATCGCCAGAAGGAAAGGAACTTTAGTGATGGAATGCTGAGGTACAATCCACAGTTAAACAAAAGAAAGATGTAAAGAAAAGGAGGGAATTGATGGGAAGGCCTGAAGATAAGGAAACTTATCATTTGGCAAATGAAATGACTAAAAAGGCAATGGCTATTGCAAAAGCAAAAACTTTAGAAGAGGCATATAAAGTTTTCAAAAAGAAAGGTGTGAAAGGAAGTTGATGAAAATTGCCAAAACAAGAGATAAGGCATCAAAAGATTTTACCTCTATTAAACTGATTAAAGATGATAAAGGAGTGGTATTACAAGATTACAGAAGGGTCAAGGAAAGATGGAAAGTATATTTCAGGAATTTATTGAACGAAGGAACCCCCAGAACTTTATACGAGAATAGAGAGGCAAATGAAGGAGTGGTGCATGATATTAGCAGAGAAGGAAAAAATGTGCTTAGGAAAATGAAAATGGGGAAAGCAGTAGGCACTGATCAGATTCCAGTTGAGGCTTGGAGAGGTTTGGGTAAGGATTGATATCCTCTGGGACCATATGAAGAAACTCTGGCAGCAAGAGAAAATCCCAGATGAATGGAGAAAGAGCATTCCTGTGCTGATCTTTAAAGGTAAAGGGGATGTACAGAATTGCGGAAATTACAGAGGTATAAAGATATTGCCCCATACTATGAAGATTTGGGAGAAAATTGTAGAAAGAAGGATTAGACAGGAATCTGAGATTGGAGAGGAACAGTTTGGCTTTTTGCCAGGCAGGAGTACAACTGATGCTATCTTTGCTCTAAAACAGCCGATAGAAAAGGCACAGGGAAATGCAGGAAGATTTGCACATGGTGTTCATAGATCTAGAAAAGGTATATGATAGGGTACCAAGGCAAGAGATATGGAATTGTTTGAGGGAAAAGAATGTTCCACAGAAATACGTTAGACTTGTCAAGGAAATGTACAAGGGAGCAGAGACCCAACTTAATAGTAGTGTAGGCACTACAGAAGGGTTCTTCCTTACCCTGCGTTAGTGCACTTAGTTTTTTTCGGCATTAATGCAGTGGGTTGTTTGTCCACCCCCACATTTTTTTGGGTCCATAAACCATGTAAGTAAAAATTCATAAAGATTTACTCATTTATTTGGTAAAGGCATGTGTCATTATACATATGATTATATTCAGGTATGATTACATATTACAGTGGAACTCCGGTTAACGAACGTCCCGGTTAACGACCAAATCGGTTAACGAACTTTTATTTTGCAAAAAATTTGTCTCGGATAACGAACGTAACGGTATTTTGTGTCAAATTTTAGTTGGTGTTAGGCATGCGCGAGTTAAGCATTGCTTTTCCGAGTGTTTGTGCTATGCTTCTTTTTTCAGTTTTGTGATTTATATATTTAATCAATATGGCATCCAAGAAAGAAAAAAGTCATAGTGGCAATAGAAAACGACAACGCAATATAAACGACAATGCGCTATCGCATTTGAGAAAAATTTTGATTAAAATAGTAAGACAATCAACTTTAGATCAATTTCTTGTTCCTTAC